AAAAAAAAAAAAAAAAAAGTTTGCGACTTGCATCCATCATAAACAAGGTTTCCATAGTTACCCTCATCAATTTAGTATCCATGTTGCCTAGCATTTTATAGTAGATGATAAAACTGAACAGGTTTTCAAAATTGCAGAGAAGACACTTAAAGGCTTACTTGGAATTGAAGTCATCAGTGGATAAGTTATAATAGAACTCCTCAATCAGATCGTAATCTGACATGGCTTTATCAATGATTTCTTGATGTTCCTTGAGTCTGTCCGGGATTGATTCCATCCACGTTTTCATCTCAGAAAGGTCTTCAATACAGTTGGGTTTCTCGTACAAGCGACGAGAGATGGATTTGAATTCTTCACATGCCTAGATTCGATACACAAAAGTTTGCAACGCAGTGCTACTTTGTTAGTAAAAATCTACAATTCAGAGGTTACTGTTTTATAACATGTTTTAGATAATGTTACAATGCGAGCGCGACTATACGTATGTTTATGTATAGAATCAAGATAATTTACAGTTAGTTACAGTTATACTATATTTTAGTCTTTAAAGTATTTAAAAATAGATAGAAAAGCATATTTGAATATTATCAGCAAAATTAATTTTTATAATATTGTTATTCCTTGGTAGTAAAATCAAAGAAATCAGTGTTATTTTTTAATAGTTTTTTTATAGTTGATGAGAAAGTTTTAAAGTTGCATTGTCAGCAAAATTTATTTGAAAGGTCTCTCAGTGTTAAGTAACTTGGCCAAAAATCAAATCTGAAAGTTACAGCATTCACAAATTACACTGATGGTATTCCCTGTTCAAGTTATTATTTGTTTTTACTACAATCAATCCCATCATGCATTGCTGTCTGAATTTTGCTTTGGTTGTGCAATATACACAACCTAGGGAGTATGTAATATTCCTTAGGCTCAGACACAGTGATAACACCTGCATTCAATTTAGGTGACTTGGTGACACCCTAAGATGCTGAAAAATTAGAACTGAATCCACAAATTTGCTAGTTGACGCGTGATTTGCAAGAAGTTTTTTAAGCGTGTCTTCGGATACCATAGATATTATTACAGTACATTTATTACTTAACACATCAAGATCTTTGAACAAAATTTTGCAGACAAAACTTTAAAATATTAAAACATTTAAAAATATTTACGTGCATTACTGCTATAATTTTACATTGTACATTTATTAATATGGTGAAGAAAACAATATGGTTAGTATTCAAATTGGATTAATATGGTTTGGAATAAAATTAAATTAATATAGTTAGTGATCAAATAGGGTTAATAAGGTTAGTGATAAAAAAACAATCCATCATACAGAAATGTTCCTTGTTGGGGTTGCAACCAAACTATCAGGTGAATGTGTTGGCATCTACTAAAGCTTTATGCTTGATTCCGTGCAACTACGTCTTTTGTGCGATTCATAAAATTACTATCATTGAATTGAAAAGAACTGAAGAAAATACTTGTAAATGCTGTGCATTGTTAGTAGTTTATCGGAGAGCGCCCTCAAACTTCCATGCACTAAACTACTCTTGTTTTTATCTGAACTAAGAGAAAGTTAATAAATAAATTTTTTAACAGATTTGAATTTGCTGGGAAAAAAAATAACAGATAGTGCAAGATTACCATAACTAAGGAGTATTAAAGTGAACTGTATTTTGTGTTGATAGATATGGTTGCGACCCCCGCAAGGATTATTTCTGTATGATGGATGGATACAGGGGGAAACACGGATGCTGGAGAGATGACTCACATCATCTGCCTGTTTACGTAGTTTCTTAGCGAGTAGTTCAAGGAGGGCATTAGCAAGGCTTTTACGCTTTTTGCTGAGTCCCTGTCGAACATTCTCCGTGTTTATGTGAAATGGTCCCATGACGATACTAGACGGTATACTGTTCTCTAGTTTCTCTTTAGCTGACAAGTGGTCCTCTATTTCCTTCTTGACCTCGGCAGCAGTGTGTTCTTTGGAATCGTAATCCCTATGTAGAAGAGGTAAATAAAATATATGTTGTACAGCATGTTATAATATGTGTCATATGGCATGTGATAATATTTATTAAATTTGATACTGCGGAATAATTTATTTTCGCTGGAATTAATTTTTTGCTAAAAAGGCTTTTTGGGCATTTTGTATGGAATTTATTTTCACTGATTTTTGATGAGTGTAATGTGAAATATAGGAAAAAAAGTATATTCACTGGATTTTATTTTCACGGAATCATCCCTCCAGCGAAAATAGCGAAAATAAATTCCAAGCGAAAATAAAGTATTCCACAGTACATGGAGTAAGAACATCACTGGTATTTAACAACCACAATGAAGTGTGGATTGACACTTGTACAGATCGCTGCTACACAAAAAAGTGCTCTTAAAAATTTTACTGGATTTTTGTTAATGTAAGTGATTATTTTTGAGAAGTCATGTATATCATCTAAGAGGCATTTACTACAAATATAAGAGCTAGAAATTATTTTTTTTCTATTTGGCCTCCTAGTTAAATCAAAGTTAAATAAATTGCAAATAATTCAATGGGTTTTATTTTTATGATTAGATCTGTTTATTGCCTGTGCTTTTCTCCGGAAGATTTGGACAAGAATAACCCAATTTTTTGAGTAAAAACTTTACTCAAATTGTGTCTGTTGGTTTCAAAATTAGGGTTCATTTCCAGAAATATGGAAATATTGGGCAGGAAAGTCTGGTGGTGAAAAGGTAAAAGGATGATGAAGAATTATTCATACAATGTATTCTGTTCTTTTTAGTTAATTTAAAACCTTATAGTGAATATCTCTGCAAAATCAAATCTGCTAAAATTCAATACAGTAAAATATTCAAAAGTAAGTTTGCCTTTGATCTTATGATTACTTTAGCAAACACTGGTGTATGATTTACTCAACGTGTGATCACTGACCCCCTAGCTAATATCTGATTATCACAACTACATCACTGACCCCCTAAGTATGTACAAAATAACACAGTTGGAGTGGAATGTTCTTTAGTCATGCAAGCAGATAACGTTACCAAGGGAAGTAGTTCAGTGTAAACAATGACAAATATATAAAGAAAACATATCACCAAACAAAAAGGTAAATTAATCGACACCATTTCTGATATATTAATTTTGAAATATTTTTATAATGATAAAATAATGACAAAATGTAAAAAATTTAAAAGTCCATTTTTTTTACTGACTTTTAAAAACATCTAAAATTTTTCCATCCCATGCTGCTGAGCAAAATTTTCAAAATACCAACATAAAGAAATATTTTCACTATAGAAACTAGGGTGAAAATCTGCATATTTAGACCAATTTCCATGACATTTCGGGGTATTATTTCTCATAAAATCAGCCGATTGAGACCCTATCGTTTTTGGCAGTATCTTGATGTCATCATTAACCCATGATAATAAAGATATGAGGAAGATGACATATAATCTCCAAACCAATAGCAAATAACAAATTAACCTTATAAATCTGGCAGGCTCTGAAATACTTACTTAGTATACTGATTGACATCCAGGTTCATGAGTTCTAGATGTTTCTCATAAGCTCTGGCATAAGCTTTCATGGGATTCATGGATTTCTTGATAGCGTTACGTATGGCATCTCGTAGATCTTCAACAGGAGGCTCATGCTCCCCTACTGACTCTAGTAGTGGAGTATCAGCCCAAAATATGTCTTCTAATACGTACTGGGAAAGTAGAAGACACATAAATCATACGAGTATTATGATTGGCTAATTTCAAGTCACGTGACTCCTAAATATTTTTAGCAATATATTACACAATACTATGGGTTTCATTCTGCTGCATTACATTGTATTTTAAAAGTGGTGAGCAAAATAAACCCCTTTCTGCTCAAAGAAAATTCCATTGTTATGCGTCAAGTCAAACATAATTACAGGACAAACAAAGGTCACAGCATCATAGTGGCGTCGTCGTTGCCGTCGTCGTCGTCGTCGTCATCATCATCATCCATCATCCAATGTGCATGAGATTTAACAATCAAAAAAATTGACAGCTGACCATGAGAGTCAAATCTTCAATCTTTCTGACATTTGGTGGATACGCTAACCACAGTTTAGCCTGAAGCCATTGACCATAATTGCTTACCTTCTCAAGCTGTGGTACAGTTTGTGTTTTACTAATAGCATTATCAAATAGGTTGATCAGCATGGTCTCAAAGTTATTGAGATTTGTACTGTAATGAGATCCGGCCATGTCCAGAACAAGATCTACCAGGAATAATGGATTCTTCTTGGGCCTGTGATAGATAAGTAAATGAACATGATTTATTGAAATTAACAACTTCCAACTGCAATGTCATATCAATAATACTGTAAACATTACTTGTATGTTAGTTTCTTGTTGAGTGACAAAAAATAAAATCAATTCTTGTATGGGCTAGTCTATAATAACTGTAATTTTAAAATAAGATTCACTACTTAACTAGGCTGACAGTGCACCTTGGGCAGTGTAGTCACAGTGGTTGTAACAATACAATCAGTCTTGGAATTTGTTTAAAAAACTATTTTTAATTTTATTTCTTGAAATATGGTAATTTCCCCCAGAATTAGTTAATATTCAAGAAGTCAAAAAGGTATCTTTTTTTTTCTCAAAAATACTGAAGTTTCAATCTTAATATTGTAAACTGCCTGATGAGTTAACAACAAAGTTAGTGATTTTTTTTTTTAATCTATGTTTTGCTCTTTACATATTAATTATTTTTAACCAGCTTTACAGTTTAGTGTGCTATATAAATGTCCATAATAATAATCCATGACCTTAGTTGTCTATAATTTATGTGAGAGTTCTTTTCAAAGATAATATTTAAGATCAACATCTTACTCACAATAAGCTAGGGATGGAATTTTTTTTATTTCATCAGCCATATTTCAACAAGACAGAAAAAAAACACCACACAACACATAAATATGCATAAACAAATCACAGCACAAAACTGTCTTGGGGGAAAATTGAGGGATCAAATGCAAGCATAATCATAAGTTAGATAAAATCCACACATTAATGCAAGTAAAACTTGGACCAGTAGTGATTGATGACAAACTGGAAGTGCCATCATGGAGGTGCAGTAAGGTAAGAGGGGAGGGGGCACAAAGAAGGTAATAATTGTCACCTCATTTTCTTGGTCTTTTTATCAAAGACCAAATCAGTCATCCCAGTGCTGTATAATTTGTAAAGTGCAAGCGAAAAATGGAGATAATCACATTAAATAGATTTCCCAAAACAAAATTACCGCGAAACATTTGTTTAAAGTTCCC